TATATATATATATATATATATATATATATATATATATATTATATATATTGATTATTTCATAAAATACATTTCGTCAGATACACTCACGTTAGAAGTGAACGCGCTAAATAAAAATAAAAAATAAACACAAAATAACAAAAAACACGTCTAACATTAAACAGATTTATGCGTCGATTATTCATTCGCGTAATTTCAACAGATATACTGACGGCTCTTCTAATTACAAAGAATTATACAATTTTCTTTGTTCTTTTTTACGAAAGCGTTGAACATTTAATTAAATGTTTCTAATAACTTTACGTTACGAATACGTATATCTATTCAAAAGGTCACGTTACGCAAACAGAATATTTCTAACGGCGATAAAAAAGTGTAAACTTTATTAAATTATTTCCCAAGAAGTATCTTTCTCGTAGCTCCGAAGCTTTGCCCGGCTTGTGTAGCGCCTTTATTGGTACCAGCTTGCAGGCCAATGAGTCCCTCGCCAGCCCTTAGCTGCTCCTCCGTAAAAGCCCTTTTATTCTCCTCCGCCGGTTTCGGACCTAGCCAGGGTCCGCGCCATTCCGGGTGCTTATACGTCTGTAAATTAGTACAAAAAGTGTTTACATTTTCTTCTTCAAAATAAATAACAATAGATAAAAGGCAAAGTAAGAGTCAAATATATATTTTTTTACATTGTCACACAATTAAAAGGAATAAATTACAAATAAAGAAAAGTAAAATTGAAAAAAAATAATAAAAACTCAGTTAAAATTTAAACGTTACAAGTTTCGGCTACCGGATTGAGCTCTCTTACTTATTTAATATGATTAAGAAAGTAATACAATCGTAAAGTGTATGCCTTTATTTTATAAATGTTATCTAGTACTCCTTTAAATTTATAAAACAAAATATATGAAATTTGACACATGTTTATCAAAAAGCTTTTCTTGAAGGAATCTTCAGATTTTAGTGTAAAAGCGTGAATAGTGTAAGAAATTTAGAATATAAATAATAAGATAAGGAGATTATCGTTAATTAATTACCGTCCGTCCAATAGCGAAGATGGTGTTTGTCACTTGAGCGATATTTTTACGTTCAATCAGGTCGACAGCTTGGAAGAGATCAACGTCGGGTACTCCGTATTTTACGCAGGCTTTCTGGAACCTGAAAAGGAAATTAAAATACATCTCTTCAATTCTCAAATGTATATATTATATAAACTTACAATAGAGAGGTAAAAAAAATTTGCGTAACTTTAGATGTTCAATTTAATCAATGAAATATTTTGGACAATTAATGTCGAAGAGATAATCGAAGAATCTCTTTGACGAGGAATTGTGGGGCTCGTGGAATCACCGTCGAGGACGGAGGGGAGCAAGTCGGAGGGGAGACAAAGGCGGGGAAGAAACAAAAGAGAAGCGCACTACGTCCAACTCCTTTATACGGCTGCTCGCCTGGGCGTCGTCTTGAGCTAGTGACGCGCTTCTATTGTTCGGTCGCTAATTATCGCCGCTTGGTAATTAACGGATTGTGATTTATGCAACCAGCTGAGAGTGCGATAAGGCGATGGCCTTTGTTCTTCGTGCCGCAGAAATGACGTGTCGCGTGTGCCCGTATAACAGGATAGCAGAATCACCTTCCGTTTCCAACGTTGAAGATGGCGACGCCTCGTCAATTACGCCTATCGCTTATCGCGAATGCATTATTCCCGCAAAACGTTTGCGAGAATGTATAAATAATATGAGAATTCGCGTAACTTTACTGCAAACTCATCGCAAGTGTGTAAAAAGTGACTTTAATATATATTATGTGTGTGATTAGTTTCCCGCGTAAAAGTAATACACTGTATTGCATATAAATGTGCAGTACAGTGTCATTTTCATACGGAAAACGAAAAAAACACATATATTAAAATTACTTTTTCTACACACTTGGATTTTGTGTTGTGTAATTTATTTATTTCTCCCTTGATGAAAATAAAAATTGGAGCGTAAATCGAATGTAATGGGAGAGTAACAGAAGTATAAACGAAACTTCTACACTGAAAAAAAATCTTAATTTCAAAGAAATATTTCTTCGGAATTTATTATATAATGTCGTATTTTCAAAGAAATTCTCGTTGATCGAAAAAAATAATTTTTTTTAATACGAGCAAAGAAATAACCCTGTATTCGTTTATTCAGCGGTTAGCGCAGAAGTTACTTTATCCTTGTTGTTCACCAAGTGTTAAAAGGTTTAAATGATACTCTCTTATATTTCTTTGAAATTAAGATTTTTTTTTTTTTTAGTGTAGAAGGCGAAAATTGGAACAATGAAATGTGAAAGAAGCATTTACGCATCAATTTTCAATCTGTATCTCGCACTGGCAGAACGAAAGGAATCTATTTGATTGTGAACGTGAAAATATAGAATGTTTTGCGAGATGGTAAATGTATAAAGACGAATAGTAGTACGAGAAAACGTCTGACATGTTGGAAGTATTTAAGCATACGCCAAACATATCACATATACCAGCCTGCTTATTCTGATGTGTTCCTGACGCTCGATGCATCTTCCGCATATGAGGTACTGAATAACGAAGCGATTTATCGTGTACGATAGACGTTAAACCAATTCAAGGAACAAAAGAAATGTGTATCCTCCTTAAACGAGACTTTATTTTTCACAATTTAAACGCGAAAGAGTAGAAAAATCAAAATGTGCTTTTGTAATGTATTCTAATATGCAGGGATAAAGTTCTCTATTTAATTATGAGAAGAGAAAGAGTCAGAGGGAGCTTTAAGAGGGCGGAAACCATAGAATTTTACATAGCGAATTTAAATATACATATTGTATATTGAATAATTATATGTACGTTTAATTATATATTTTAAAAACATGAAATATATTTGTGGTATATAAATAAATAAACATATTATTTACATAATATAAGATATATAATCATATATTAATAATTTCTATATATTATATATACTAATTAAACAACTATTAAATAAATAATATAAAAATCGCGAGGTACCGTACACCTGTGTGTGAAATCCATGCCGGAAGAAGAGCGAGAGGGAAAAAATAGGAATTTAAAAAATAGACATTATACGTCGTATTTCCCGCAAGGTTATTTAGACTAGAGTCCGTGACCTTGCATCGATCGAGCGTGGTCCGCAACCTGTTGCGCTCGTCGAGCTCGACGAGCGTGAGGCAGGTCAGTGCTTACGAGCGGTCCGTTTATCAGAGTTGCATGAGGGAACTTCGCGCTGCGCTGCAACACGCGAATCTCCCTCCTCGCCGCGCCGTGCAGCGGTACGTACATGTGCAGATCTTACCGTGCGTTCCGCGAAGACGCGACGCACGATACGTTTCGCGCGTCAGCGGCAGCGGTGGTGGCGGTATATCCACCTTCACCGGGATCATACTGCTCGCGTAGAAAGGGAGTAACGCGGAGTGGCCGCGCTGCGCATCGTTCGCCCCCACTACCTGCGGGACGCGCTCTTAAACATTCAAAACGCGCCAAACGCCGAAGAAGCGCGACATGCGCACGTCGCACGGCAATGCGCCTGACGTGACGTGGACGGCGAGAGGCGCGAGACAGTGCAGGCAGCCGCAGAACGTGCGCGATGCGACCGAAACGCGTAAGTGGAAACTCGTTTCGTTTGGCGAAGCCGCGGTGGTCGGATTACGGGCTATTACTCCATATTCTCATCTTTGAAGATGTCAAGATGCGGAGCTTTCTTCCCCTTTCCCGTTGGAAGACTAAACAAGTGATTACATGGCACGCCTAATCGGGTT